ACTTTGCTGGGGTCCCTGGGGTCCCCAAAGGCTGTCACAGCTGCTGGGCTCCAGCCGCTGTCTGGCTGGAGGCTCCTGCGGAAGAGCTCTGGGGGTCCGCAGGCAGGGTGTTCCTTTCTGAGAGCCACGCTGACCCTTCCCAAGTAAATCACGTTCAGCACGGTTTTTATCGCAGTCCGTAATAATCTGCTTAGTGAGCTGGTGGACGGATAATTTTTCCTGTCACTTCACTGTCAGTACTCGCAGGATTTCTGTGCCGCTCCTCGAGCTTGGTTGTGTGCTGGAGCCTGAAGCTGTAGGAACTGAAACAGGAGCATGCCTGGTGTCTTTACACCCAAGAGGCATTGGGCTGAAGGACTGGGCTCTGCCTGCCAGTTTTCCTGATAAAATCCTCCAAACCAGTAGGTCGGTGATAATTAAAGACCATGTTGACCCACATCTGCTGCAGCAATGGAAATCAGCCGTTGTCTTGGCTTAATTGACCTGCACACTCTGACTGCTTTATACTGCTCTGGTTTAAGTCATTACACACTTAAAAGTTCAGAAATCAGTGCTGACAATATGTCTTACAGTTGTTAAAATAGCATATCATATTCGTGCATGCCCTCTTTAAAATAAAAATACAGTATTTTGTAGGCAAGAGTTTACGGTGGAGGTGAGCTTGAAAATCCACGCCAGTTGGTTGTGGGTAGGTGCATTAAAAAGAGGGACTGTGAAAAATCCAACAAATCTCTAATAAATTGATATAATTGCTGTGAGAGTAAAAGCTGTATGTGGACCTTCATTTCCTTTTGCTTATTTTAACACATACAGATTTCTTTAAATTTCCCGGCTTCTGGCGGGGTTTTGGGCCAGGCAGAGCAGCTGGGCCAGGCTCCAGGGCTGCGGGATGGGGCTGCGGAGCCGGGGGTGCTGCTGGGGGCTGCCACTGCTTAGTAACTTTTAACATAGGGGGTGAGAGGGAGGGACCTGTCTTGAGTTAGTCTAAGCTTTGCTTTGACTTGGAAGTCAGCCAAGGGCTGTAAACCAGCCGCTGCTCCGCCGATGCATTTGTCTGAGCACATCTGAGATGCCTCAGGCAGATCAACAGGCTTGTTACCGCTGCCAAACCTGCGATGTTTCCTATGTTCCCTTGGGCTCGTTTACCAGATACGAAAGATGAATCTGAAAGGAGAACTATCCAACTGTAATTATATAACACAAAGCAGCAAAGTTTTTACAAAAACTAGATTCAATAAAAATAGCTGTTAAGCAAAAAATGACAGATCTTGTTTGTTCTGCTGCTGTATGCACAATTAGAAACCGAAACACAATTAAGAACCAAACACATTTTGCTTGCCGCAGTGGTGGTCAGCGTGCAGGGGTCAGCTCGGGCTGGAAGACACATCTGTCTCTGCAGCCGTGGGGAGATCAGCATTTTATCCCTTATTTCCCCCATCTGTACCTGCAAATCGTTCCCCAGCAGGGCTCACTGCTTCATTCGCTGTGTCAATGGATGGGGTGAATCAGCTCAAACACGACCTGTTTTTCACAATGAGTTATTACGGTGACTTTATTCTTACGATTATGCATTTGATTAGCAGCTTTGAAACTTCCTCACAGTGTTGCACGTCTCATGGCTAAAATTCCCCACGTGTTTGGTTTGTTCTGCAACTGGTCACGCAGGTCGTGTTCAGGCTGGAGGGCGCAGGAGGTTTCCTGCTCAGGTGGGAAGATACTAACCTCCTTTGAGAGGACTTCAGTGTACAAAATCATGTAAAAGAGTCTATTAAAAAACAAACCAGAGTATATATGTGAGTTTGTGTAAGTGGTGTATATAAATACTGTAAGAGAGCAGATAGCAGTCTTCAATATGGGTAATTCTGCACATCTGAAGCATTGCTTCTGGCTGGCCCTGGGGCCGGGCAGTGGCCGTGCCAGGGCAGTGGCCATCTCGGGGCAGTGGCCATACCGGGGTAGTGGCCGTGCCAGGGCTTGCTGCTAGACCCACCTATGGAAAATGGTCACGAAGGAGCATAATTAATTGGGATCGCAGGTGACACCCACAGTCCCCAGGGGAAGGTGCACGGTGCAGTGGCAGTGCGGTGACTCTGGCTGTTGCAGGCTCTACGAGGGAAAGGAGACGGCCGAGTTCCAGTGCTCACTGCAGCGGTTCTTCCTCTCCCTGAACCAGCTGATGAAATCCCCACTGGAGGGTCCCACGCTGCTCTCCCAGGTATGGCGGGGGGCCAGTGCTGCGGGGGGGGCTCAGCTCTGGTGCGTGGCGGGATGGACGGTGCCCCAGCGGGGGAGGCACCGGCTGTGCCCGTGCAGGGGTGACACCGGCCGTCCTGCACGCGAACCTCCTCACGCACAGGGCATCAAAGGGAGCTGTCACCCGGCGCAGTGCCTTGTTCCACCTGGGGACCCCCACTTGTGCCCCTGGTGCAAAGGCCCCTGAGGCCCCAGACCACAAAACCCCACATTGCGCTGGTGCCGGGGGGCCACGGTGCAGGTTGGGGTCAGCAGCTCGGGCAAATGCTCCCCTGGTCATGCATGTGCCGATGCCTGGAGAAGAGGGTCTCAGGAGGGCTCCTGGGGCTCATCCCCGTCCCCGAGCTGGCCTGGCCCTGCTCCCTGCACCCCGGCACCACGCTGGCACGGGTGGGCCCAAGGGGGAGCAGAAACGGTGCCCTGTGGGTCCCTGTGGGCACGGCTGCGTCCTTTACTGGCAGCCAGTGTCGAGGTCCTCCAGCTGCTGGTGTGATGGTGCTGGGGGTGGGAGCTGGAGAACGCGATGGAGCCACGTGCACGCTGCGAAGTCAGTTAGCGAGAGGAGGCAGGAGCCGGTGCTGGGGCTGAGTCAGTCTCGCTTTGGTGCTGTGCCAGGGGTGAGGATGGGGCCGCACTCTGCACCTGCGGTCTCCCAGCTGGAGAGAGGCACCACAGAGTGCAGCTGGGGACCTCATCTGCAGGCTGGGACGCGCGGTGGCCCCAGGACAGCTGGCAGCTCCTGCTCCTGTGTTGTGTTATTTCATGGCATTCTTAGATAATCCCTTATAAACTAATCTAATTTTTAAAAAAGTAGTTTGAAGACCAACATGACAGTTATCCTCATGGAGAGGAGGAGGGCTGTCCCTCCTTATCCCCTCTCCCATCTAAACACTGATCATTATTCTGATTTCCATCTCGATACTGTCACTCTAGGGACTCTGTGCTATGGTAACCTGACGCGCTGCAGTGTTACCGACTGCTGCACATTCACCTGTGCGATTTCTGCATCACTCAGCACCTTGTTCAGGTCTGCAGAAAATAATTCTTGCAAACGCACCAGAGTAGAGAGGCCACTGTCCAGGGCAGAGGGGAAAGGTCTGCCCATGCATCATCAGAAAAAGCGTCCCTGCAGCTGCCTTTGGCTAAGATCAGGAATAGCAGTGGCAATAGCAAATAATAGCCACGAGGCACAGACAGTGCGGCAGGGTTTGCCACGAGGCACCGGCGGTGCAGCCAGGTCCGACAGTGCGGCAGGGTTTGCCACGAGGCACAGGCGGTGCAGCCAGGTCTGCCAGCTGCCTGTCGAAAGTGTCAGCGAGGAGTCAGAGGACTGTCAGGAGTGGACGAAGACCACGTCTGGGATCCAGCCGTGCCGGGTGTCCTGCCGAGGCGTGGGGAAACACACGTGTGCTTCACCCCGAGCGCCCTGAGGCTGCAGCCTTACAGCAGACGGCATTAACTGGAAAAGAGGAGGCTGCAGTTACCTCAGCTGGGCTGGCATCTCAGTGCTGGGGGAGTCCAGGTGTCACACAGCCAGCAGCGGCTGCATGTCTCAGCAGGACAATTTTCCAGTTGCAGCACTGTTGCGGTTCCTCCAGTGCACTCGAGGCACTGTGGGTGTGTGCAACAGCCAAACATCGTTAAAAAACAGACTGGAAAATGGTATTTCCTCACGTACTGTCGCACTGCTGTGGCTTCAGTGTGCGATCCCTTAGTTCGGGGTGAGGATTCGGCGGGAGCTGCCCTCCGCCCAGAGCAGCAGCCTGTAGGAAGCTGGGAATGGGGCTTGGAAATTTGCCCGCTGCTGCCGCTGCTGCCGGGTTTGCTGAGTCTGGCCATGCTTTCTCCTGGAAACGGCCAAATTCTGCAGTGGGATCCCAACTGCCGAGCGGGAGCTTCCCCTGTGAAAATAGCTTTTCTGGTTGCTATTACTGTGTTAGAGAGAGCAGGGGAGATTGAAGCTCTCTAGCAGATCTGTGCTGATTTTAGGGGAAATGTCCCCCTTGGAAGCCCCCCAGGCTCTTCCTTGGGGATTGCTGGAGTGTTGAGCAGGTCTAGGTGCTGGGGCGATGGTCTGTAGTGGGCTTCAGTGTTGTGCAGTAGCAGGACACAGTCCTTCAGAGAGACTTTCCCTCTGCTCCTGTCTCTTCTGGGTGTGAATACCTGGACTCAGAGATCTCGTCACCAGGTTGCTGGCTTGGCGGTGGCTCCTTGGAGGGTGGCAGAAAGGGGAGCTCGTTCCATCAAAGCGGGGTGGCATCAGGTTTGTTTCTCATTGACCTCCCCCAGGTCATTGCCTCCCAACTTTAAAGTTGTCAATTTTGTTGATGCAGCTTGTGTTTGGTATTTCTGAGTGTGGCTTCACGCTCAGCCACACTGCAGTGCGCAGTGTCAACTGGCCCCAAGCGTGGTGTCAGCCGGGTCTCCTCCTTGCCGTCACTTGTCCTCCTTGGTGCTCACCACCAGCTCTGCTGCTCCGCAGGCGTTACCGTGATGGGGCTTCTCCCATGTTACGGACAAAGTGTTTCACTGGGGGAGAGAGTGCCCAGGTGAAATTATTCAGTGTGGAAGTGAAAATCAGAAAATGGTCTTAAAAGCAAGAAATCCCTTAACTTTAAACCCACGGTGATGGGCTCCGAGCTGACTGACGTGCTGGCGGATGAGACCTGGGACTATAACGGATAGTACTCTGGCAACGTCAGCTCCATGCCTGGCACCGATCAGGGAACGCTCACTCAAAGTTGGGAATTATCAGGAAGGGACTCGAGAAGAAAACAGAAAATGTCCTTTGCCACAGCGTAAGTCCCTGTGGTGCATCTGTGTCTGGTGCCCACGCTTCAGAGCGTGCAGTCAAGCTGCAAAAGCCCCAGGGAAGGGTGACCAGGTGTATGGGGCAGCTTTCAGGTGGGATCACCTACCTGGCCAGACCAGACGCCTCCATCCTGGAAAAGAGACGAGCAGGGAGCTGGGACAGGGAGCTGCAGATTCGCCTCTGATCTGGGGAGGGGGGTTGGAGATGGAAATGGTTGCTCAAGGTCTCTCCTGACTCAGGAAGGAGGGAGCATCTCGTGAAATGGGCAAAGACAGTGCTTGTTCATCTGCTGTGTGATGAAGCTGTCGAGCCCCTTGTGATGGTCTGTATCTGCTCCTCAGAGCAGGGTGTTGATGCTGGAAGTTTATGCAGTTTGCAAACAGCTGTACTGATCCGTGGAAGAAAAATCCACCCAGGATTATTTAAATATAAAGACATTTCTGTCTCAAGAGGCCCTGACCTTGGGAAGCACCACTGTGGGTTTGTGAGCCAGCAAGGTCCCGTCCTCTTCGTCTCTGAGCCTCAGACCAAGTGCCCAGCCTCGTGCTGCCTGGCTCCCGGTGCCTCTGCCTGGCTCCCATTGCTCCCCCATCCGGAGGGTCCTGTGGCTTCCCTGGTGTCCTGACCCATGGTCACCCCGGCCACAGGGGTGCAGGACCCGCTGCATCCTGCAATGGTTCCTGCTGGACCCAAGCCACCGGGTCTTGCTATATCCAGCCCTGATGGTGTCTCCTGAACATCTTGAGCAGGTACTCCAAGAAGAGAACTTTTTTTTCTTGTTCTCTAAGTGGACTTTGTAGCTGCTTTACAGAGCTTGCAGACACCCCGTATCTCTAGCTGCAACGACCAGCTCCCATCTGGCAGCTGAAGGTGATACCCGAAAGATCTGTTAGTGGCTGACGTAAGCTTTGCAGCTTCATCCTGTTCTGCCTACTCTTTTTGTTAAAGCTGCAATTATCTGATCAGCCCAAGGCAGAGCTGATAATAGCTCGTTAGCTGCAACACTCCTGCAAAGGCCACCTCGCTTGTGGAGAGAGCTGGTCCTCTGTTGGAGTACTTCAGGCTGGGAGGTTTTGTACTATTTTGACTACTCAGAGCCGTGGAGAGGAGGCTGAGCCTCTTTTGGCTCTGCTTATTGGTATCAGACAGGCTGGGGGCCAGGGACAAACCCATGGCGTGGTCCTAGCCAGAGAGCAAGAGCAGCTCTTCACCCAAAGACCTCCAGCATCCCCAATAAACACTGTGACCCGGAGAGTGCCCCTGATGTGAAAGAGATGGAAGGCTACCTGCTCCCTGAGTGCAGCTGCCTTGCACATCTCCGGCCAGGAGATAGGGCTTCTGCTGCAACTGCTCCCTGCCATAGCCAGAGGGCCCTTGAGAAGAGCTTCACTCATCCCAATGCTTCCCTCCTGGAGCCCTGGTTTTCTCTGCACCCAAAGAAGTTGAGTTTTGAGGTGGGATTGGGGTACAGACTTAAGCAAACACTTAGGACTCACGCCAGCTGCCAAGGCATTGAGCAAGGCAGAGCAGAGCATCACGCTGCTGCCAGCACAGCTGGGAGCTTCAGGGGACCCAAACTACTGGGTCCTGTGCCTGCAGACAGCCCGCACAGGCATGCAGCAACGGCAGGTCACTACTTGTAGTGGGTGCATGTTTCCCCTTGTTCATGCCTTGAGAAGGACAACCCCCTCCCCTCCATCCTTCCTTGGTTTAGGTTCAGGCTTACCTGCAGCTCAGCAGGGTGGAGCGGAGGAGATGGCCCCAGCCCGCTGCAGACCCTTGGAGTATTTGGGTTTGCATTTGCATTTCACAGCCCAGATCAGGGCCTGCGTTTTCCTGAGTGGGTGCTCACAAGTGTCCATGGTTGGAGCTTCGCTGAGGTTGCTCTGACTCTTCCCCTGTGGCTGCTGGCAGGTGGGTGGCTTTCTGCAGGACAACCTGCCACCGGCGTTGCGCAAAGGTGACAGTCGCTGCCTGCCACCGGCGTTGCGCAAAGGTGACAGTGCTACGTGCACCAGAGGCAGCTCCCGAGCCAAGCTGGCGACTGCTGGGCTCTGCGCCCATCCCCGCTCTGCGCTGGCCTCCCTGATGGCTATCTCCCTGCCCGCTCCCACCGGACCCGGCGGGTGGGTGCCAGCGGTCCATCCTCCAGCTCCACCAGCGCTGCCAGAGCATCACCAGCGATGGCATGGACAGGGCAGCTGGTTCGAACAAACATTGCTGTTCTGCAGCTGGGGAGAAATCAGACATAATTTGTATGTTGTGGCCAGGCTCACACGCTCTTGCCACGAAAAATCAGTAAGAAGGGGCTCATCCTCAGTGGTGAAAGACATTTTCAGTTCTGCAAGGACAGGCAGGTACCTCAGCAGTTACAATAAAAGCCAGAACCAGTTTCTGGAAGAAATCCTCTCTGAGACATAGATGCTGATGTTTAAGAGATCTTGTAACACTGGAAAAATCCTTGAGGAACGGGAAAAAGTCCATATTAGCTCATTTTTCAAAAAGTGAATCAGATGACCTTGCTAACTGTAGGCCAAAGAGGCTGACCATTGATCCTGGCTCAGTCACGGAGAGGATGCAATCAATTCAGACTTAAAGGGTGGCAGTATAATTAATGTTAATCAGTCCAGCTTTACTAAGCATGGAGTTTAATTAAAAAAAAATAAAATTTAGCTGTTACTTTTTTGAAGTTACAAATGTGACTGACTAAGATAACTGACATAATAGGCGAGACTAACAACTGTTTGACTTGATACAGCATTCTGATTTAAAATTAGCATTGTGTAAGTTATTAAAATAACTACTTTTAATCTCCTTAATATATATCTTCTCAGTTCTAAAAAAAGTCATTACAAATGGAGAACAGTCGTACTGGGATGGGCATTTCTTTGGTTCCATTTCCAGGGGAGTCGGCTCTCGGCTCAGACATCTTTGCATGTTTGCCGTTTCGCCAGACGTGGCCGTGGCCGGTGCAGGGGGCACGGGCAGCAGTGGTGGTGCTGGATAACGGGGAAGCCTCTGCTCTGTGCCCAGGCTCTGTGGGCAGAGAGGTGCCGGGGCAGGGGACGGGGCTGCGGGGCAGCAGCTGGGAGCAGAGCCAGGAGCTGCCAGCAGCGAGTGGCCGAAGGCGACTGAGCGTGGTGTCATTGCAAAGAAATAAGTCAGTCCCTGGATTTATACGCAACGAGGCATTAAACAGAAATATCTGGAGGGGCACACAATGTGAACAAGGCTTGTTAGTAGATGATGCGCCCAGCCTTGCTGCCCTCAGTTGCAACAGGTATCTAAGTATCAGAGAAGGGTTTGCAAGAGCTGCAGAAATTACTCACGGTCTGGTGTGTTTGATGGAAATTAACACTATTTTAGTCAGCTAGAAGAGGGTAGTGGAGAACTTGATCGCAGTCTTTGCAAACCCAGAGGGAGAAGATGTTGCTGGAGCATCGCTTAGTGCCTCAGGCAAAGGCAGAGCCCAGTCCAGCAAAGGGCGCTGGAGCTCACCGAGCTCGCCGGGAACACGGAGCCGGGCAGCAGGATGGGCGAATGCCACTGCTGTAGACGG